AAACACAGCCTCTGATATTGATGCAAGACCGTACACATTTACCTTCTCGAGGTTGCACCTGTTTCGATACAGAAAATGTTACGGATCTCATTTTAATCCACTAGATTTATCATACGCTGATTTGTTTATGGGATTAAAATTAAATTATCTATTCATCTGCAAATAGTATTAGTTTGTTACTTTTATTGTATATATTCATCGGTTTGTCAATCATGGGTAGTTTTCAGAGTGGTGACCGGAGTTCGTTTCCGCAATAAATATGCATCTCGGGGAGAGATGGTGGCCGTCGGCCTTTTGGATTTCGTGTACTTAAAACTTTCCACTTGAGCCCACGCCGCCCCCGCGCGTTACGGTTGGTTTATGGGATGGGGAGTTTCCAGATGGGGGAGTGGGAGAGAAAAAAAATATCTGTGGGTGTGAGAGTGAGAAAGATTGAGTTTGGTTGGGGGGTGTTTTCGATCGTGGGATAAATTAGAATAAATGGTAAAAAAAAATGTGTAAAGAAATAATCTGAAAGATAAATTAATGAAAACGCTTTTTGATCACGAAAAGGGTTGCGGATTGCGTGGCTTCCGCGACGGTCATTACAATATGCATGCATATGTGTGTGAGCGAAAGAGAGAGAGAGAGAGAAAATGTATAAAAAAAACTATTGACGACTTGTTTATTATTCTCTTGTTGCAGGATGCGATTTTCCGTTTTTTTTTGCTATTTGGACGACGGGCGGGCGGTAAATCTGCGAGGAATTTCATTTTCAATTCGGTACGTGGATGTATGAATGTGTTTGTATTATTTGGGAATGAGGGTGGCTGCGCCTGTCCCGGATTTCGGGATTCGTGGCGCAGGTCCCCCCCGCACTCTCTCGCTCCTCCCGATTTCCACCACGTCCCATTTCTCTCTATCTCTCATTTCTCTATTCTCCCATTTCTATGTATCGCAAAGTTCCGAAGAATTGATTAACATCATCGGGTAGAAATTGTTACCTACCCGATGATGTTAATGTATATGATGATGTAAAGTAAAACTTACAAGTCGAGTGATTGTGAGGATTCATCCGAGGCCACTGTAATTTACACCATGCACACGGTAATTGTAGGTGCGTGTCGAGGCGCGCTGCAGCGGGACCGGAAGTTGGAGAAGTCCCGTCCGGTTCCGGTAGCGCCTCTGGTGGTGGTCGGATCGTCGGTGCCGTCTTCTTTTTCCTCAGGGTTTCTGTGAGCAGCCGGACCGCATCTGCGCCACCGCCACCCTTGCGTCGTCTACCTTCCTTCGTAGTGGTGGCTGCTGCTGCTTCTGCTGCTGACTCCCGGTGGCGCCCGCTTCTCTCTATCTCTCCCTGATGTCTCTTCTTTGCTTGTTGCAGGCTTCCCGTTGGCGGCGACCTTCTCTCCTGCGATGCACCTCTCTTCGCGTCACGGAACGGTCCCAAACTGTGGTTGGTTCCGTTGGCGCCTGGCTGCGATCCGGTTCGGCCTGGCGGCGGCAGCAGCGACGTCGGTGGCAGCGGGGTGAAGGTGCGGAGGCGGCGGGCGGCGGCAGGCTGGTGGAGGAGATGGAGAAGAGCGCGCGCGCCGCCGCCCCAGGACGACGCCGCGCACTACATGCGGGAATTATTGATCTCTGCCCAGCTGTGACTCGCACAGCGAAAACATACGATCATTATTATACGCGTTTTTCACGGATCCTCCTCTCTCTCTCTGCCACCCACATCAGCAGCATCATCATCATCAACATCATCCCCGCACAATCCTGCAATTACCGCCACCGTCGAATCACTGCACATTGTACTTGTACATCGATTAAAATACTACACCCATACAACAACATCAAATTAACACTCGAAAAACAATCCAGATACTGCACACATCCATATGATGAGAATACCATACCTGTAGCCTTAATTAACACAAATTTACTCAATGTTTCAGATGGAGTAGATTGTTGGAATTGTATCGAATCTCGTCGTCGTGAGAGGAGGACGACTTGACTTTTACGACCACCTTCATCATCAATTATTCATTGATCACGCACCAACAACAACACCACCAATTGCAGTGCTATAGAACAGCGATTAAAATCCGGCTTCCAAGGAATATCGAGGAGGAGACGGCAAAATCTAGTCTTTCCTTTTTTCCCCCTTTTTTTTAAATCAATTATTCATGTTTCCTTAGCACCGGTCACGCAACCCACTGCTGCGAGTAAACTACTATCGACTCCTCAAAAAAAAAACAAATAAATTCATTACAAACTGTTTGATTATGAATATCAAATGGAATAATATGTAAGAAGCAAGTAAACCAATTTAAAGTATGAATCTAATCATGTATATTTGTAGGTTTGTAGCTGAAACGCCCTCCAATTATAATCTGCAAAGGCGGTGGTTAATGGTTTGATGATGCTCTCACCTCCTCCTTTCAATTCACCCCTTTTGCTGCAGTCGAGTGTTTCCCTCCCGTTGCTCCTTCAGTTGGTCAATTCGTTGCGCTCTCTTTGTTTCGCACGAATCGAGGCACAAGTACCTACGAGGGACGAAAAAAAAGGGCAAAGCTCAGGATAATTTGTTTCTTGGGTTTAATGAAGACCGAAAAGAAGAGAAGGTGAGATTTAACACACACCGTACGCAAGTTATTAAGTCTAGGGATTATTCATTCGCGAAGTTCCCGAAAGGGAAGGGAGTGGGTTCGCTCTCGTGAGTACAATAACAATTAAGGAGACAATGTCGTCTTGTCGGGTTTCTATGCGAAACTTTGGGATATTATCATCAAAGATTAGTGGGTCGCTCTGAAGAGCAAAATATCGTCTTGCATTTCTAATTCGTTGTAGTTTCAAATATTTGCATTTAACATTTGTTAAATCAATGCGTTTATTTAGATTTTTTCTATTCATCAAATGAGTAAACTAAATTCTAACAAAAATATATGATTTCAGGAAAGCAAGTTCAAGGGGAGAACTGTTATCGATCCCTGCTGGGATTAGGAGGTGTCCTGTCATCGCTAGCTTTGGGAGATTCCGCGAGAACTCAATATCATACGTGCTGATTCCCTCCTCGATCGTCGAAATATGTTTGAAGAGGAATTCCTGGTTTGCACCGTTAATACTTATTACAATTCCTTAATCAACTTAATGACTTAACAAGTTTATGTCAGTCCAAGTTTGCCAAGTCCAATATCAGTTGGTTCATTGGAAAAGCTATAGATTTATCTTTTGATTAGCATGTACAATTATCTAATTCCTCCAATACCGCTTAAGTAAATAAGTTTTATACTTACGTAAATTATCAAAAATCTAATTGGAATGGTGATTGATTTTTTTTTAAATTTCTAAAACAAATTAGAAAAAAAATCCCATTTCAAATAATTAGTATTGCTAATTGATTTTCATAAAAGATGCTGTATTAGATAATTAGATAATTTGCATTGTCGGTTGCAAACAATTGGCGGGTTGTTCGCGTAGTTGCATAACCAACATTTATATGCTCCTCCCATTCTAATTGTGCAGTGTGTACCTAACCTTCATTAACGTACATCTTGTTTATTGTTTGTGTTTACCGTTTTGGTAGAGTTAAAGGAAAGCGCACACGACATACTAATTGCGATGGAGTTTTCGGGCAAGAAACAAAAAAGCGAAGGTATGTTCTAACGCTGTTTGAGAAAATCCGAGTTTTACGAATATTGAATGAAAAAAAAACATTTTTTTTTTGTATAGAATTATTAGTTTTTATTAGTTATAATTAATTTGTGTCGTATGAAAGCAATTCAATTGCAATTGGTTATAATTTAAGTTTTTTTTGCATCGACTTTTGTTCTATTTGTATATTCATTACGTAGGCAACCAAATATGCGTTATTTTACTGATACAAAGTTATGTTGATTTTATTGCAATTGATTATAAATATTCGATTTGATTAGTCAATATTCGATTTAAAACTGCAAATATTTAAATTTGTTCGTGATTTAAGTAATAGTGAAATCATATTTTTTTTTAAATTTTTAAATATTTGTTGTGTTGGTATTCGTTGTTGTCATATTTTGAAAACATTGTGGTAAACGTGCCACGCGATTGAGGTTAAGTCAGTGTAATCAAAGATGTTGCGAAGACAGGCTCGTTTACGCAGAGAATATCTGCACAGGAAGAACAAGGAGGACAAATTCAAGACGATACAGGAGAAGAAGGGCCGCGTCGTTAGCAGCGTGACGAGCAACCGATTGATCCACGGCGATCTGCAGAGACATGCAGTGGATTTGCAAAAGAGAACGGAATGGGACGACGAGGGACCGCAGAGAGCACTGCAGATCGGCGGTGAGAGTGGCGGAGCGTTGGCGAATTCGCAGGACGACGAGTACAGGTATGCAGGCGTCGAGGACCCCAAAATTGTGATAACGACGTCGAGAGATCCGAGCGCCAAACTGAGGCAGTTCGTGAAGGAGGTCCGTCTGATATTCCCCAATTCTCAGAGGATGAATCGCGGTAACTTCGACATCAAGCAGCTGATGAACGCCTGCAGATCGAATAACGTCACCGATTTCATCATAGTGCAAGAGCACAGAGGCGTCCCCGATGCTCTGATCGTCTGTCACTTACCCTTTGGTCCCACGGCTTATTTCAATATGTCCGATGTGGTGATGAGGCACGACATTCCAGATATAGGCACAATGTCTGAGCAGTATCCACACCTGATCTTCCACAATTTCAAAACTGAGCTGGGCGAAAGAGCCATGTCCATATTGAAGTATCTGTTCCCTGTGCCGAAGGAGGATTCCAAGAGGGTCATCACGTTTGCAAATCACGATGATTACATCAGTTTCAGGCATCACAACTACAAAACTGTCGATAGGCAGGTGGAGCTGAGCGAGGTGGGGCCCAGGTTTCAGCTGAAACTGTACCAGATCAAGCTGGGCACATTAGATACAATGGACTCGGCAGACACTGAATGGGCTTGGAGGCCTTACATGAACACAACAGTGAAGAGAAGATTCTTGAGCGATGAGGATGGTTGGCAGCAAGACGATTAATTTTGTAACATACCATATGTTTCTTTAATTATAATTTTTTTTTTTTTAAATAAAATATGACTATAAATATGTATTTGTCTCGTTTTTAATTTAACGTTTAGAATGTATTCGTAAAATAATGCATATATATATATATAAATCGATTTTCTTTTGTTTTAATTTTGTTTTTTCCTTTTGTTTATTAATTTCTCGTTCCAATAATCAATCTACCCGAAACGAACAAATGAAAAACAAAACATTCGCGAAATGAAGATTTGGAGGTGACAGGTGTTTCGAGGAGCGGTCGAGTCCGTAAGAAATCGTCGAAGCTGATGGACTTCGAGTCTCCAGATGATATCGACAGAAGCTTCAAGAAGCAGACGGCGGGCACTCCGGTTACCACCGGCAAGACGAAGCAGCAATCGGAGCCAGGATTTACTTCGCCCAAAAAAGTATTGTTTTCAATCAGAAAGTCGTGCGTGTTTTATTTTTACGTGACTGTTGTAGGTCGAAGCCAACTTCGATTATGAGGAGATGATCGATGAAGCCGCTTACAAGAAGGACTGCTCTCCGAGGAAGTTGATGATGGACGATAAACTGGATGAGGTATTTAAATTGTAATTTGTTTAAGAAGCTTTTCGTGACTTGTTGTTTCTTTCTTTATAGGAGTATGATTACGATATTGGCAGTCAGGAGAGCGCGTCCGATTACGAGAACGAGCACTTCGACGAGATCCATGCAGCGTCCAGCGAGAGCATGGACGACTCTCAAAGCGATTATGACGATGAGACGGGTTTCAGGCGTTTGGACGATGGTGATTCATCGCAGCAGAGTCTCTATTTAACTGAGAAGACGCAAAAGAAGCGATTGGTTATCAAGGATGGAAAGATTTTGAACAAAGGGGGGAAGGTGCAACGAAAGGACAAAGGTTGGTCGGTGTTTGTTTCAGGTTGTTTTTTCTTTTTGCAGCTTTGCACCAATTTGGCTAAGATATGATGTGTGTGAAGAGGTTGTGGGACGCAAAATTTCAGCTTTCTGTACGTTTCTATTCTGTGTGTGTGTGTGTGTGCGGTCCCGGCAATTTTGGGGGGGCTTAAAGAAGGTCGATTTTCTTATAAACTTGCAGGTGTAACGCGCTACACGGCTTACATGCTGTGGGCGCGCGACATTCGAGCCGATCTCGTCGCGGCAAATCCAGAATTGGATTTCTCGCAAATCTCGAAGCGACTCGGCGAACTCTGGTCCGTCGTTCCGTCCAGCACGAAATGGAGCTGGCGACGACGCGCCAAACGCTTGAACGTAAAACAATTTGCAGAAATCGCGACGGCGCAGGAAATCGGCGGCGGCAGCAGCAAGGGCGTGAAAGGGATCGTCATAAGAAGTGGCGGTGTAGGGACCAAATTCATCAACGCGAAGAGAAGCGTCGGCGGTAAGGGGGCTTTCAACTTTGGATCTTCGCCACCGGGGAATTCGCACGCTTCTCCGCCGAGTCCCAAAATGTCGGTCGTCCTCAAAGCGAACGGATTCAACCCGATAGACGTCGCGGCGCATCTGAAACTCTTGGGCGAGAGCCTTGCGATCATCGGGCACAGACTCAAAGAGCACGAGGTTAATAGTAGTAGTCTATAAAAGCAATTATAATTTATAATGATTTCTTTATTTTTTTTAGGGACAAATCGCCGTGTCGGGAAGTCTGTCCGTTCTACTGGATTCTCTACTCTGCGCTCTCGGCCCTCTTCTTTGTCTGACGCAACAAGTCCCCGAGCTCCAAGAGAACTGCTGCACCCCAGAGAAGCTGAACAGCATACTGGACAACGTGGCGTTCATCATGCCTGGTCTCTAGTATCCACTTTCAAAACTCACACCTTAAGCGTTTAATTTTAAGTTTCGTCAATTTTGAAGAATCGTTATTCATGTAATTATTAATTAATTGTCTATATCTAGTTGGTGTCGTGCGAACATCGATGTAAACAAATCAATATTTAACGGAAATATCAAGTATAGGAAAAAAAATTATATACGGCTCGCGCAGATAATGTAAAATATAAGATAGACCTAATCGGAAATTTTTCGCTGCAGAATATATATATATATTTACGTTCGGAAAGATAAGTATTATTCCGTCGTTTGATTTGTTTGTAAACACCCATCCCGATAACAACAAGTCCAGTATATAAATTTATAAAGTTCTACGAGAAAAGAAAAAGTTTCACATTCGTCGTGAAGATGTCTTTAATCTCGCGTTTAACTAAATCTTCCAAACCGATGTACGTTCGTTGCAAAGCGACTCTGGCGCAATGTGAGTGAATTTATTAATATTATAACAAATTGATTCAACTTGATTGATTTTACTTATTTTAGCTCGACGAATTCCCAATGTTTTGTTGAACAATGGAATAGAAATTCCGAATCTCGGCCTTGGGACTTGGCAGGTTTTTATTATTACTATTATTATTATAATTGTTTGAAAAAGTAAAGTAAATAAATTGGTTTCAGGCTGAACCTGGTGAGGTTGAGAATGCTGTTAAAATTGCCATCGATTTGGGGTACAGACATTTGGATTGCGCTATGGTTTACGGCAACGAAAACGAAATCGGAAACGCGATCAGAGAGAAGATCGATGATGGAACTGTTCGCCGGAAGGATCTGTTCGTCGTCACGAAACTGTGGAACACGTTCCACGAGCTCGAAAAAGTCGTGCCGGCTTGCGAAGAGTCCCTGAAGAATTTCGGCCTCGACTATCTGGACATGTACCTGATGCATTGGCCCGTCGCGCAGAAAGTCTTCGGCGACATCACCAGCAATCTGCCGTTCAAGAATGCGGTTGGAATCGATTACGATTATTTGGATACGTGGCGTGGATTGGAGGAATGCCAGCGTTTGGGTCTGACCAGGAGTGTAGGCGTGTCCAATTTCAACAGCAAGCAATTGGATAGGTTGCTGCTGGCGTGCAGCATCAAACCAGTGATGAATCAGGTGATGAGTTTTTCGATTACTAAATATAGTAGAGAGATTCAGAGTAACATTGTTCGTTTATAGATTGAGGTGCATCCGAATTTGAATCAGAAAAAGTTGATTAAATTCTGCAGGGATCGCGATGTCGCTGTCACCGCCTACAGCCCGTTCGGATCGCCGAGCCGACCGTGGGCGAAACCGGACGATCCAGTTCTCTCGCTCGACGATCCCAAGTTGATAGCGATCGGTGAAAAGTACGGAAAATCTCCGGCTCAAATTGTGCTGAGATACATCGTCGAGTTGGGTGCTATACCAATACCGAAATCAACGAATGAAAAAAGGATTTACGCTAATTCAAGCATCTTCGATTTTGAGCTATCGCCCGACGATTTGGAGGTGCTCGACTCGTTCAATTGCGACGGTCGTGCGGTTCCGGCTTTGGAATTGAAAGGATGTCCGCACTACCCCTTCGAAGGAGTTGAATTTTAATCAATAAGGCAAAAATGAAATTGAATGTATGTATTGTTGTCTTAAGTTTAATATTTATATACAAACAAAAAAAAAAATAGAAGTTAATTAGAAAGAACGTATGAGAAATAAAATATGGAGAGGTTTGGATGGTTTAAAAGGCGAGCTTCTTCATCAGCAAGTACATGTGCTGATCGACCTCGAAACCGTGCAGATTGTTTGCGTCTCCTTGCAACCTCATCAGCAATCCACCGAAGGAGACGTACGCAGCTAAACGACTGGAAGGTTCGTTCGCTGCTTCGTCCCCTTCTATCCTGTACACTTTTCCGGACATCACGTACTCGAAGCTGTCCGCTCTCGAGCCTTCGTTATCCAAACCTCGCGGGTCCCAATCCGTACCATCCGGGTAACCGTCTTCACGTAGAGTTGTGGCCAAAACCAGACGAAACTTGTCTCCCAATTCCATCGGATACAGCCAAGAGTTTATGTCCAGGATCAGGTCCATCTTGAACGACTCTGACTCGCAGTGTAATCTGCTCACCCTGTCAAACTTCTTGCCCTCGGGGTCGATATCTTTCACATTGAAAATATCCTCAAACAGAACACCCGCCATATCTCAATTTATTGTGATCGGTCCACAAATCAAAATCAGAGTTCACACTGAAACAATAAAAGAAACACATCAGTTTAACAAATTTAATACAACAACTTAACTTATTAGCAACAATTGATCTAAACATTATCAAAGTATTCGTACTTACAACAACAAAGACTTTGCACACTTTGTTTATTATTTTAAATTGTTGTTAATGTAAGGGAAAAAACAAATTTTACCGTAAATGTAAATACTCACATGAGGTTATGTTTGGCAATTGAAAAGCATTCAACACAACTTTGAGGTTATATCAGTAAATTGCTTTCCGCAGATGGCGGTAGCATTTGCGGTAGTTCAAACGTTCACACAAAGTAGTTGTAATGACCTGTCAAAAGTTAATCATATGTTGTTGTTGATATACGTAAACATTCATTAATTTCTGCAATAATTAATTAATTCGCAAGTCCAATCTCAAGATGTTGTCCTCTATGGTCAAGGAGCACCATCAGAAGCAGGTTGTCCGTAAGGAATTGCAAGGTACGCAATCATTGTTACATATGTTGTTTTTATTAAACAAATGAAATCTGACATAAATTGAGATACATCAATGTGATTGGTTTAAATGCAATTAGTTAAGATGAGTAATATAAAAATGTATATGATATTGTTACTTAACAATTATATCAATCATGTTAACTTGATTTATGTCATCTTTACATATGTGTGCAAGGTTTCTTTTGTTTACATTTTAAATTGATGATGAATTTTCCTTGATTCATCTGTTTCTAAGAAAAAAAATAAACAATATACATCACTCTTTAATTACACTTTTTTTTATGGTTTAGCAACAAAAGCATGTTGCAAATTACTATTTTGGTGAAGGAAATTTATTCAGCGAAACAAACAGAATTTTAACTAATTTTCTTTGGTTTGTTTGTTTGTTTCAGAATCGAAAAGAAAAGATGCCTGCGCCGCTGCCAGCGACCTGACCCAAGCCTTGGTGAACCACTTGAACGTTGGGTGCGTCCTCCTTCTCTTTTCATACACACAGCTATTTATAAGCAACTCTGAAAGGAATCCTCACGTGGTCTTTTATCTCGCCTTGTTGTTGTTTTGTAGGGTGGCCCAGGCCTACTTGAACCAAAAAAGATTGGACGCAGAGGCGAAGCAGCTGCACACGAGCGCAACGAACTTCTCCAAGCAGACGCAGCAGTGGTTGACTCTGGTGGAGACGTTCAGCAGCGCCCTCAAGGAGATCGGAGACGTGGAGAATTGGGCGAAAACAATCGAGGGAGACGTGCGGACCATCTCCATGGCGCTCGAGAGCGTCTACAAAACGTCGCAGGAGAACGCTCAATCCCAATAGGATGTTGCTTAGCAACGATCAAACAAACAAACAAAGAAAAGACACACTCAGACACATTCTTTTATTATTATATTGAGCTCAAGATATTGAACTGAAGAGTTATCTAAATGTAAGAATATTGTCTGAAAGTGAACAAAGCATTTATTGGATCGTTAATCTTTTATTAGATTAAAGTAAGCAGCATTAACATTGCAGATATTCTTGGGTGGTGAATAACGATCATACTTTAATTCCGATCAGTTCATTAACATTTAAGAAGACTATTTCCAATTGAAAATGCTTGTTTTTCTTTTCGTTGTTCAAGTAATTTCCGTATGTCTATTGTTAGCTGTAAATTGTGAACTTTCAAATCAGTTTTAGGTGTATTAAGAGAATATAAGAAGACAAAAGAAATTGTTGATTATTGACGAGATCCAAGTGGCCGATGTTCCTCAAACAAAAACGTTGAGAGCGCGGGATGGATATCGTCGCGTTGAGTGTTTGTATTATAAGTGTGTGTATATGTTTGAATCGAAAGTGAATCACTAAATGCACACTCTCTTTTGCTTCTGTTGTCTTCTGCGTTTGTTACGTGAGGCCAATGGTAATAATTCTATTTGTGGTTTGACCCACGCAAAGAACACACGTTCCAATATATCTATATATACACACACACACACATATAAATTGAATGTGAATGCAGACAACACATGTGTGTGTGTATTGGAGAAATTAAAATATTTACATTTTCGTTCACTTCTTTTTGTTTTATTCTTTCAAACAAGAATACCAAGGAGGCTTTGCATAAGAAGTGAGGAGGGAGGAGGAGCGCGTGCGTGGTGAGAGTTTTGTTGCTGCAGGAGCGCCATGATCGCCATGTTAATAAGTTGATGATACGACGACGAGACGAGAGTGTCAAAAGTGTTGGTTGGGTGCGAGTGCGGACGGTGGCTGAAACAAAAAAAAGAAGAGAGACAGTGAGTGTGTGTGTTAGTTTGGTCTCCCCCTTTATTATACACACACACAAATAATAATACACGCTCATCATCATCATCGACGACGATCGCTGGTGTGTTAAGCAAACGCGAACGACGACGGCAGAAGAAGGTGGTGGCGCACCACACTCATATCAAGGGGGCTGTTGCTGTCGAAAGAATTATAAAAGAAAAGCGCGCGAGCACACACAGTAGTTCGCAGCCCTCCTCGATCTCTCCGCAAAACGCGAGTTTACAAGAACCATGTGAATGTGCCCAGTTTCTCTCCATTCCTTCTCCTCTCTTTCCCCACAAACACACACACACACACACAAGTACATACATACATAAACACTACTCACACACACAATATCGCATCCGCAAAACATACACTCACACGCAAAACACACTTTATTAACACCATTATCGTTACCCCATTTTTAGATCTATTTATGGTTTATTTATTTCACGATTTTAGGTGAGTACTTAATAATTCCCAAAAATGGGTTAATTTCTACTTATTACTTGTTTTTCGTTTTGCATGCAAGCTCACATCTCACATCACCAATTCATGTGTAGCGTGTCTGTGTGTTTGCTGCAGTAATGGGATTATTATTGCTACTTTCAATTCTGGGCCATCCGGCAACACACTCACTCCTAAGGTTTCCTTCCACAGTTGCAAATTAATCCTTAATCAATTGCATTTACAATCTACATAACCTGCCCGAATGCACCTGTCACTTGCATCAGTGGAGTGGATTCACCTCGCTTCTTGCATAAACAATCCAACACACACACACACACATTTGACAATCAGCTGTTCACCAATTATCACCTTTACAATTTGTCTCATTTAATGTATATTGCTTCATTATCTATTTATCATTTACACATTTGGTTAATCAATCAACATGTGAATCATATATACATACATACATACACGATTCCACATAGATAATCTATAAATAATCTGCACTCCTCAGATTTACAATTTTCGTTTTCATTTACAATCAAGTGGGCTCATGTTTTGCTTTCAATTGATTCTGAAAGATCAATTATCAGTTGATTTCATTTCTTTTATAAATTCATTAATTTTGTTTTAGTATCATTTTAGTGAGCAACTTTGAATAATTTGTTGTCTGTCGCTTAACCCTGAGATTATGACCGTTGGCAACTTGATTATTTACTGTTGCTGAAATAAAAAAAAAGTGACAAAGATAAATCGACTGATATAGCAAGAGAGACGAAAACTGTAAGTGTCCTTAAAAAAATAAATAAATTGCAACATTTGATAAACTAAAGTCTAGATGAAACGATTACGAAATTTGATTGCTTTCATGTTATACAATTATGATAACTGACATGTGTTCGTTTCCAAATTGCACATTTTGTTTTGTTGTCAACAACATTTATGTCATTCTGACAGATTTGCAATTATCGAATATTCATATTTACACACATTGTTTATATTATTAATAACTCGATTAATTGACGAAACATGTTCGAACCCTCTTTTGACCTTTGCGAAGAGTGCAAATTTCACCAACAGTTTATGTTATCGTTTATAATTATAATAATTATGATTTAACGTTTTGTTTTGTAAATATAACAAGCACACTTTGAAAATGCATTAAAATTGAGCAATTGTTTGCAAAGAGAGTCACCCATTTTCTACTTTTTTTTTTTTTAAATTATTTGAAACATTTCTTTATGAATCATAGATAATTAAACATTTCGCAAACGAATATTGTCAATATCCTTCGCATGAAACGCATTCTTTTAAAATATTTAAAATTCCAATTGATAAATGTTAGTTTTAACATCTGTTAGTCGCAAAACACAATTAGATCGAATATATTAATTCAATTTCGATTATATATATATAAATTTCAGTAGGAGGCTGACGAAATGGAAGAAAAAAAACAACAGAAGAATGAATGAATGAAATTATCTAACGCTGTGTTGGAAGCAGTGCGGAGCGATTTTGTTTTTACGCCTCGGTGATTTTTCGAACCAGATGGTTTTAATATTTAATCTTAAGCAAGATTTATAAAGCGAAACATTTCAAGTTTTCAGCAACGATAAAACGAAATTGAAGAAATATTAATTGTTCATGTTAAATTCTTAACAATTCGTTAGTCACGATAAAATATCCGGAAAGCCGATTTTTTTCTTTTGCTTATCTTGTTACTTTCTTTCGCGAACCGCGACTCATTTAAATATTTAACCGTCCGCATTTCTCCTCGCACAACACACCCTCGTTCAGACGACAAATTGCAATCTTTGCACACGTTTTTTCTTGCTATCTTTCTTTCTTAGTTTTCCAAGAATCTATATACATACTTTGACCATCACTTATTCAGTAGATATTAATGTAAAGCATCGACTTGGCGTTTAACAGACCGTTAAAAACGATTTGCAGATGTGTCTAAATGACTCGACGAGTTATTTAGTACATCAATAATAATAATTGATAAAATCGCTGCGATTTAATCGCGTTATCTTATCGTGTAAATTAATGTTGATAAACGATTCGGTCGATTGCTTATCGTTGCAGACACGGACGACGTGTCGAGTGTGTGTGTTGTCTTGTCTTGTCTTTACGACTTGATTAAATAGATTTATTAAAAAAAAGTTGTTTGTTTTTCGTTCGATTGTTTTTCAGTTAGTGGTCGTAGCGTAAGCGCAGAGGGAGGATGCCCGGACCGCCGCCTCCTCCGCCACCGGGGGTGCCGCCCCCAATGATGCCGCCGCCCCCGACGGCGTTCGCGCCATCTAAGGGCGGCCCCGACAACCGATCGGCTCTGCTCTCGTCCATCCGGCAAGGAGCGAAGCTGAAGAAGACGGTGACCGTCGACAAAAGTGCCCCAATGTTAGGTACGCATATTTGCACACACGAACTATTATGTAGATAGTGAAGATAAGATTTGAACTTAACAATTACCATTTGGAAACCTAACAAATGCTGTTACTGTTTACAAATTGTTGTTTCCAACGTGAATCATTTTCTTGCGGTTTTTTTTGTTTCAGATTAATAAATTAATCTGTTAATAATTATGAGTAATTCTTTGACTCATTAACTTCATCGATCATTTACATATACCATGGTTACAGTTCATTGGTTTTTGTAAGAAATTTCCAATTAATGTTAGTTTCCAAAAAAAAATAGTTTTGAACTTTTGCAAATTATTTACGATTTTATCAATACACTTCAAGAACGTATTGTTGTGGTAAGTTATTGCAGAAAAGGTCACAAGCGACTGCTTCGTTGCCATTCGATAATCTTAATTTGTATCAACTAGAAAGTGCTGAATCGTATAAATTGAGAGCATAAACAATTTCAAAATTGCATGATATCATCCACCACTAGACTTAATGTCTGCACGTTAGAGGCAGTTGTGTACATGTACAATTGATTATAAAAGTCTTAGTTAGTTATTAATTAAATGAGCTAAATGGTTTCACTGTCTGAATGATAAAATAGAGGTGAAAATGTTATAATAAATGTTTGCACTGCGTTTAGTGTATAGATTAGATTAGTGCGAATTCGGTCGAGTTTTGGGATCGTGCAAATTTCAGTTGCGAAAATTAGGAAGTTCCATTTGTCGTAATTAAAAAAAATTACGAAATAAAGAAAATACAACGTACACGACGACCTCTCATTAATTCAATAAATGTACTATTTTTAATATATATTGTTTACGCTCTTGGGTCGACGAAATATGTAAACGATGATAATCAATCGAAAAAAAAAAAACGTTAATGAACTCAATGTATTTGGGTCAAGACTGCTGCATCGAGCGTGCATAGAAAATGACTCATCCCATATAGTTCACTAAAGAATAAAAGAAAACAACAACACGTTATCAAAACTTCCTACATATAGAACTAACGATTTGAGTTTTAAACTAAACGAAAAAGTAAAATTGCGAATCTGCCGGTTTCGGTGTTTTCTTCTCGTCCATCGAGAATAGCATTGCTGTGAGTAATAAAATAGTAATGGTTTGAAAGTGATCGAATGTTGTTGCGGCGGAGAGGAGAGACCGTGAATATTAAAAAGCGTCGATGAGTGTCGACTTGAATCACCAATTCGATTCGACCGCAGAGAACACGACTTTCCTCTTCTCCTCGGTTGCATTTGCAAAAGTTTTGTTTACATGGGGGAACGAGAAAATGCTTACATAAATAATCGCGCGTTTAGTCATCACAGCAAATCATCTCAATCGAAATCGAAAAACGCATTTAGTTCAAAGTACTATAAAAAAAGAAACTTAATATGACTTTAATGTTTGAAATTGTACGTAAATTGGATTTGTTAACCTTGTAGTTTTCTTTTTAAATATTTATTTAAACTAGTTTTCCAATTATGAAACTATTTTTTCTGTAATGATTCATTCAATTGAGTATTGAATAATATTATTTCTAATTCTGTTTGTAAATTGAACTGTTATCAACTCGATTTTCTAATTGAAATTATTTCTCATGTAATTGAGTGCAAAACGCGTTTTAAATTGTTTATTATAAGTGCGGTTAAAACATAATTATCAACATTTTCTGCATTCTAATTTTGCTACCGATAACGTTTTGATGAATCATTTACAATGTTCGCATTTTCATCATGTCAATTCTTGTATATTTATATTGTATCAAACATTTACTAATCGTCTCTTGTTTGCAGGTAAAAATAGTAATGGAAATAGCGGTGGAATCGCGAGTCCGTCATCAAGGGGTGGCAACGGATCGACGATGGGAGGAGTCGGTGGTGGACCTCCGATGGGATTGGGCGGTCTCTTCGCAGGTGGAATGCCGAAGCTGAAACCGACCGGAAAGCAGCTGGCTCCATCTAACGCGAATCGATCGACGGACGGGGGCGGCTCCCCGACCGCTTCCAAGAATTTCTCCTCCATACAGACGGAGCTGCGAAAGCAGATGGCCAACGATAGCAAGAATCGGGGACCGCCGCCTCCGGCACCAGTCAGGAATTTCAATGTGAGTTCACGACTTTCAACGATTCGAATATTACGCTTTTTGTCGATAAGAAATTGAGAATTATCTGAGAATGTTCATAAGCAGCCGGCTGTGATTTCACGTGTACATTTGGTTGCCTACAGTAATTTGATAATAACTAGTTGCCACTTAGTCATATTTAGTAATTAAGCAGATTACAGATTGATTAATTAATAATATTATCAAAAAAAAAACTAATCATTTTCCAAATGTTGTGTCAAAATTAAGGACAATTCTAATTATAGCGTAATTACTGATTTGGCAGCTAATGCTATTATCAAATATAATCCAAATTTCTTTCTGTGCTGTTAATTCCACGACTTAATGAAATAATTGCAAAAATATTTCTTACCTTACTAAATTGCGAATCTGCGAAGCTCATCTGCATCCAATTTGGAAGAACACTTTAATACGCATTTGCCTTTGATGCAAATTACGAATTCACTGTTCTATTCGCTTACAACTCTTTCCATCATTTGTATTTTGCGAATAGCATATTCCGATTTATCAGAAATTCCCAAAGCAATCGGTTTCCTGCGCGCACAATTTCCTGCAAAACAAATATAAAGATGAAAATTCACTATAATAACGTCGATTGTAAACGTTTCAAAGACAATTATGTAATTAAGCTATTTGCAAGTTGCTATTGTTAACGATCCACGGTCCCTTTTCGTAAAGGGAACGAGGAAATATTTGGGTTAAAGCTAGAAAATCGATAAGTTGTCAAGGTTAAGGTTTAGTAGGTAGTGTGGGTGGTGCAGATTTTGCGTGGAATGCTGAACGGATGCTGCTGCAGCGTTGTGAATATCACGTAACAAAATAGTGTGTAGTATAGTGAATACGTTAAGAAGATGATGGTATGATAGATTGATTAATAATTTAATTAATAATATATAGTTGTCTAATTCCAAGAAATTATTCATTTTTAAACGTTACGTTTTATATGAAACAATTTGCATTATATTTGTACGTTATCTCTCGATTGAAGGAAGCTCTTTGTGTATTGTTCATTAATCGTCGATAATGTGTGTAATATGTAATCTATTCTTTTATTTTTCTTTCTTTCTTTCTAACGTATTCACACGCGTATTGTTATTTGCCTGATGCCCACTAAAGAAATTCGTCGGCGATTTGCTTCGGACGTTTATTAATCGGTTGTCAGCATGTCGACAGGTAGAACTAAAAATAACTGCTGGTATAGGCGTTTCTTGTGTTGGGTGAAATCGAAAAGAACAAAGGTAATTAAACAATTATGAAAATAGATATCGATTTAAAACGTTTTCGTAAGGTTTCTATCTTAATAAGTTATTGATCTAAAGCCAGTGTTTTATTTATGTTGTTTTTCTCTATTGTAATAGATTAATAGTGTTTCTGTTGATTAGAAATGTGTTGGTGTAGTAAATGAGTGAGTGTGTTTTTGGTTTGATAATAATTTGCGCGTTTCGTTTCAGAATGATGATATTACAACATCTAGTCGTCAGCCGTCTACGACGAGGAACGGCTTCCATCAGAACCTTAACACGGCTGTGCAGAACAACGCTCACCATAGGAAGACGCAGAGCAACGTGAATGTTACCACAACAACGACGACGATGACGGCGGACGCAACGGATTCCTCGAGTCAGAACAATAACGTGGCGCCTCCGAAACCGTCCATCAACCATGGAAAACCAAATTTGGCGCCGAAACCGCCGTCGCTGAACGGTACGTCCCTCTCACCTTCTTTTCAAAAACTTGAGAGCATTAATTACTTACGTAAATATTTGCCGCATTTGAAGCACGCGCGCGCGTTCTCCACAATCCTTTTAGTACTTGTTGGCCGAATTAGGAGAATCTTTTAGTTATTCAGTTGAAACATCGTGCTTGCACTATTAAATAATTCGCGTTCGAATGACAGACATACAGACAGTCAAAGTCAGTGAAAACGAATAGACGATGTGTTTGTTATCGTTGTGCTTCTGTTTCGATAAAGGTAAACCTGCGGCGCCGCCGAAGAAGCTTTCGCTGAACGGGAAACCGATCAGCAGGGCGCAGAGCATGAGAAGTCCGAGGTCGCCGTCCCCGCACAGTCCGGACAACAACAATCCCGAATACCAGAACAAATTCGGAACGGTGAGGAACCTGTCTTCAGTATTAAACCAGAACCATCTGGGCCACAGTCTGGGTAATCTGACTCAGATGAAGCCGCGCACTCCACTCAATGGTCAGTATTATTATCAATTTAATTTGTTTCTAATTTGAATAAATTGAATGTTTGGATGTGCAGGAAGACCAACGGCGCCGCCTCCCTCTGTACCCGGGCAGCAGGTGCCGCCACCTCCTCCGCCGAGCAAAACAGTGCGACCACCGAATCACGCTCCGCCTCCACCGCCGAACGCCATCCCGCAGGCACCGAGCCACGCCCCACCGCCGCCTCCGCACAGGACGCAGGCACCGTCTAGAGCGCCGCCAGCGGTAAGACCACCACCGCCCCCAAAACCGACAGCATTGAAGCAACAACAACAAAAACGGTACATTCATAATGAACGGAAACCCACCTTTCAGATACCGACGGCGATGGGCGGTCTGAGCGCACCACCGCCGCCTCCTCGCAACTCTTCGATACGAGATGTGGGCGGTAACATGAGCAGACGACCGTCGAACGCGATCAGCGTCTCCTCCTCCTCCTGCTCCATCACCACCAACAACACCTCTTCATTGGTGAGCGAGCTGGAGAAGCGATTCGCCTTCCATTCGCCGAGCGAATTCCCGAAGCCGATGCCCTTCCGCAACGTGCACAAGGTCTATAACGGTCGACAAGGTTTGTCCAAAGCTACATAGTGCATGCAAATAAGTGAACTGCAACAAAAACAAAAAGAAAGAGATTTTATTTTTCATCCGCACTAATCTTAAAGCAACAAAAAAAGAAAACCATAGTTTTACGATCATTATTATTACTACTACTATTCTATCAACAAGCATAGTCAACATCCAAAGACAAACAAGTATTGATTGTCGTTGGATCCGCACCACCTCCAATCTACCAACACAACCCCATCACTCTCCGCACACTAGTAGAGAGAAATATTATAATTATTATTAACCACCGCTTTCACACACTTCTATTTCTCTTTTTTTAACTTATTGTTATATATATATATATTTAAACTAATTATATAGTATTTATTTACTTTATTAATTTAATTTGTTTTTATCTTCTTTTGTATTTCCATTCCTTTCGATGTTGCCCCTTTTGCAAGCATTTCAAGACTATTTTTTTCAAATCACTATTTAACGAAGCATTTATACTATAAATAGATAATGGACCATACGACAATACAAACGTTTACGAAATATCTTGATAATATTATATACATATCAAGAATTAGTGTTAGTAATATATACTAAAGTTAATATAATTGAATGAAAATTGCAAAATAACCGACATCGAATGGTCAGGTCACATGATCATAACGATTCCCCAAAAAATAACATCCATCCTCACGCTTTTCTTTTATATTTACAAGACTAAACAAAATCAAAACAATCGTAGTTATGCAGTAAAGAGACACGAGAACTTTCAAGTGTTTAAACAAAAAAGAAAACAGTTGGAGACGAATCAACGTATCCAAGCAACGAGAGACATATTTTGTTATTTAAAACGAATTCGTTTATTCGTCTCGCAACGAATAAACGCCCGCACGCAACTCGAACTCTTCTCAAATGGATTATTTATGTTTTGTTATTTTCTTTGTTTGTCCCTCTCTTTAGAGTCAAAGTGCTAAAAAAAATGAGATCTTTACTTATCAAATGTTTGTTTGTTGAAACACGGGATCAATCGACAACGACAGCAGCATCTGTCCTCGTCTGCATGTTGTATAGACGTCCGCATTTTCTCGTTTTCTATCATTATTTCCTACTGCTACCTAACTTCTCGTGGATTGCTGGACATCATTTGTTTATTATTTTCAACGCCTACTATTTTTATATATATATATATTTATACAAATGCATATTTCTATATAATGTATGAATCGTTTACGGAATGTACCATAATTTCGCTTATCCCCCCCCCTCTCATTATCAAAATAACAACAACAACAAAATTAAATCACCCTCCACATCATACACAAACACACCCCACTTCGTTTTTCTTGTTTATATTGTTATATTTACAAACTTTAATTTCTCTAGACTACGTTTATTATTACTATAGACTAGTTGTTTTGTTTTCAAATCGATTATCACTATACGACGAATCATATGTATATTTATATATATATATATGTATGTTTTGTTATGGTGTAACGAAATCACAGTGCACGAAGAAGAAAATCCACGCAATCTCCTTCAATTGTTTCGTGGCATTTGCAAATTCATTTAATCGCAGCAGGTGGAGGCGCCTGGTTTTTCTTTTTTTTTAATTTTTGTTTCGCAATCGCCTAGCAACTAAAAAATAATAACGTTTCTATTGTTGTCATGTAATATATATATATAATTAGATAATGTCGTCAAATCTGTCAAATTATCTGATTATCGTTTTTTTTGTTTTGTTTTGTTTCTTATTTCTTTCTTTTTGCACTGATCAAGTTGGCAATAAACAGAAGGCGCCACCGCCTCCTCCCGATCAGATACAGCTGACGAATCGTCTGTGGGAGACGTCGACGTGCTAACGCAGAAAGAAACGAAAAGAGAAAACACTTAAACGTGTCTATCGAGAATCGCATAAGAAAGTTGCTCAAAATTTCCGATCGTCATCATCGTCGTCGTCGTCGTCAACTGTTTTGCGTTTGCCACCGCTGCTCCTCGTGAAATGTTTCCGAGGAGAGCAAAACAAACTCCTCCCCCCAACCCACCGTCGCCGCCCACTCACACACGAACGTGCACGCCCACCGACAGCCCAACCAATACGAACGTTAGAGTTTGCGTTTGGTGTTGGTGATAGGTGTAAAACTTTTTGTTCAGGGGAGGTGCGATTAAATAATAATAATAATAATAATAAATGGGGGAAAGGAGAAACATCCACGTACTGTATTATTAGTCCTTTTGGCTGTGGTTTTAATAAATAATTGATATATACATATAAATAAATATAAATATATATTTTTAATTGTATAATTGAATCTTC